AGCAAATGGCTGCAATATAACAAAGAGTGAAAAATTTAAGGGGGTCTGAATACTTTCCGTACCCACTGTATACCCATGACGTCTTAAAGTTTCAAATCACTCTGTTCATTGTTTTAATCAGTCAAGGGAGAGCAGGCAAAATGCCAGCTAATAAAAAGAGACTGCTCACATTAGTGCTTAACACAATCTTAGCGTGTTTCAACTTCAGTCAGAAAACTGAGTCTAACCTCCAGCCCAGATATATACAGCTATATATATATATATATATATATATAATTTGTATATTAGTTTTAATTTTAGTAATTGTAGTACTTCATTTTAAACTTATTTATATCAGTTAGTTGTGAATGCAACATATTTAATTTTAAGAAGCTTTTCATCCAATATTTACTTTTATTTGACCTAAAATGATTTCCAATAGTTTTAGTAAACAATAGCAACACTGTTGCAAGTTTAGCCTAAATGAAATGTATAACTGCATTAATGGAAGAAAATACAGTAAACAATTTAAGTTTATAAATAGGAATTCGGTTTCTATACTAAAAAACAACTTTTAAACAACAATAAAATCTTACAATAATTGATTGGGGTGGAAGACTGATGAATGCAGTCAACAAAAAATGACAGACAATTGTAAAAACAATAAAAATAAATTATTTATTTATCATCCCGCCAAGTTATAGAAAGAGTCCGAATTATGTCACTTCTTGTCTCACGATTAAAAAAAAAAGTTTTTTTTTTTTTTGTACTAGAGCATCAAGAGTGCTTTAAAACAATCTACTTCTCCAGAGTAATAATATGTTAGATTACACAAAAGAAAATGCGATTTGTGCCTCTAATGGTTTTACAAATGTCATGACACACTAAAGTGTATCATATTCATGCAAAGTGTCTTCAGTTACCACAGGTCTGGAGTTTGAGTGCTTTTTCTCTCTCTTGTGATGAAGATGAGCAGTAATTTGGCTTTGACACTGATTCCTCTTCACAATAAGAGCCAAGAGAACCGAGTAATGTCATATCAGACATTCCTCATAGTGGACAAGACGCTACATGACTGCTTTTCAGGCTTGGGCAAATATGAGGGAAATTAATTTCATATGACGCCATGCCAACTATTTGTGCTGTTAAACTGTTATATCAGTCAGCACACATTGAGGGTCATTTTCTGTTTGAGTCTCAGCCTTCATTTTGAGCTGATAAAAGCTTCCATTAGCATGACCTGATGCCAGCGCTCTCTCTCTCACATTCATCATTCATTGGGTTCCCGGGAGCCGGTTTGCTCAGAATAATGCCAAATGCACGCTACGAGAAAAGCTACGAGACGAGACAGTCTGTTGCACACTTTACACAGCTAATCACTATGGAAGCTCATTTCCGCCACGGAAAAAATTAAAAAGGTAATTGCGACTATATATATGACAATTCTGGCAAATCCTTTTTTCTCAGAATTGTGAGATGCAGTATAAACTCAGAATTTCAAGATATAAACTTTCACAATTACGAGTTCGCATCTCATAATTCTGCCTATTCTGACACACAAACACTGAATCCCTGTAAAAAGCACTGCCCACCATGCTCCATTCTTTTATTCAGTACATATATAGGCCATTACACCGCCCTGTGTGGAAAAAAATAGTCCTGTTTACTAAAGATTGCTCCTCTCCACCAACACGGAGAGCCTCTGTGTGTTTGGCTGTGTTTATCTCAGTCTCCTGATCTCTCTACCTCCCTCACAGGGTCACCATGCACACTCTCTCCTGCGCTGAAGGAGAATATAGATCAGACTTTGACAGCATGTCTTATCTGATGAGACGTGCCTCATGCTTCACAGCTCTCCTCTCTCTCTCACACGCAGGGGATCATCCAGATCCTCAGGTATGAAAACAAAAAGCAGCCGCCCATCACCGTACTGTACCAAAGCGAAACTCAATCCAGAGAGAACTTCCTTCAGGAAGAATCAAATCCGACATAAGCATCTTCCAAATGCCACTAGAGACAAAGCAATGCACAGTCTGAATCCATCAGACCAAGTTTCCAGTTAGAGCCAAAAAGACTTTTAAAACCACAGGAAAACCTTCCACATAGAATGAGAATCAGATGAACACCTTTAACATTAATATTTACTTGAATCATCCTCTGAGATGTCAAGTAATGTTGTAACCTCTCAATAAATAGGCATATTTTATTTAAATAACATTTGATGACTCTTGTTTTATTGAAGATCAGAGTGAAGTGCTACACATTTTACTGTAGAGTCAAGATGAAAAAGGATTGACAAGCTATTTTACTTCTGCAGTGTGATGGCTTTCTCATGAACTCCATGTAGTTTCTCTATTAGCCACTAGTAGTTCACAAAAGAGCCCAATCAGGGTTTTTTTCTTTTGTATTTTTTTATATACTACTATAGAATTTATTTATTTCAAATTAGCTGTTATTTTTGTTTTCAGTTTTTATTTTATTTTATTTATTTCATTTGAGTTTGCCATTTTATTTGTTTATTTTTTAATATTTCTATTTATTTTCATTTCAGTATTAGTAATTTTACTACTTCATTTTTTATTTAAACTTAAAAATTTGAAATAAAAATATTTTATTGTCAGTTTTCAGTTCAATTTTAGTAAATTTATTTCCATTTGTCATTTTTATTACTTTGTTTTTAACATTTCTATTTAGCTTTAATTTATTTTCATTTCAGTATTAGTAATTTTAGTACTTCAATTTTTATTTCAACTTAAAATTTTAAAATAAAACTATTCATAATTTCCAATTTTCTTTTTTTTATTTTAATTTTTTCTTAAGTTTCATCAATTTTTTCAATTTTATTTCTAATTGTCATTCAAGTTTTAAGTTTCACCTAATATTTATTAAATATTATATATTTATATAATTTTAGCTTATATTTTATTATTATATTTTAGCTTTAATTTGAATGACCCTAATACATATTTAATTATACATTTTTATTACAAAACAATTTTAATAGTTTTAGTTAACAGTAACTGAGCCCAATACAACAACATGAAGAATTTATACCATAACTGTTTTTTTGGTTTTTTTTAATCTCCAAACAGCCAATTAGCCAAACAATGATTCTTGATAAGACAAGGGCTGTTTGCTGAATCTTTTTGTTAAAAAGGAATGGACGGTGACTATATTAGAGCCATATAAACTCCCATAAAGCCCTGGGAGGCAGCAGCTAATCAAGGCTTTATGTAGCAGTGTGTTTACAGTGGGTACGGAAAGTATTCAGACCCCCTTAAATTTTT